GATCCCCGCACGGATCCCCGCACGGATCCCCGCACGGACCCCCGCGGCTGCGGGGGGCTCGGTTGCAGCCCCGAATTCCCAGCCCGGAGCAGCAGGAGGGGGAAGCGCCGGGGGGAGCAGAGCCCCTGGACGGCGCGTCCTGCCCCTTCCCCCCCAGCCCCTTCCTCTGCCCGGGGCTTCCTCAACACCACGGGGAACAAACAGCTTCCACTTGGTTGGCTTTGAGCAGCAGCCAGGACCGTTCTGCCAGCCGAGGAGGGCAGAGCAGGGGTAGGAAGCGCCGGGGCCCGGGGAGAGGTGGTTTTACGTGGTACGGGCTTGTTCTGATGGAAATGCAGCACCAGCCGTCGGAGGGGTCGGTGCGTTCGGCCCCGCAGCTCCGGGGTCCTTCTGCCCCGGTTTCAGAGGGGCAGCTCCGAGGATCTGACCCGAATCTCAGCGCCAGCAACACCCGTGGCACCCAGAGGAGGAACAGGCTCCCTTGGAAAGCCCTCCCCTTCCAGGAAAAGGCTCTGATTACAGTGAACTCCAGCGCAGGCACCAATACCAGCGCCAGAGCAGCCAAGGGAAGCTTTTATTTCTTACAAGGCATCTCAGTCTGGCACCAACTGCCCTGGTTTGTTTCTATTCACCCCTAATAGCTGCAGGTCTAGAGCAGTAATAGATGATAGCAGAGGTGTTCTGAAAATGCATTCCTGACTGGCAGAAACAGAAGGCTGCCCACGGTCACAGTGGGTTTGGTTTTCTCCCAGGTGTGCAAGAAAACCTCGGTTTAAGGGCTGGTGTGAATAACACAGGTACCTGGTAGGATGCAAAGTCTCTACAGAAACAACACAGCCCAGCAAATACACAGTTCAGGGGGGTGTTTTGTTCCTTTGCAAGGCTGAACCCCCTGTCACTGGAGAAAACCACTGTGCTCACACTGACTGTGCCTGTTGCTCACTGGGGGTGCCAGTTAATTTGCTTCTCAAAGCAGCTAAAAGAAGCCTCGTGCTCAGAGCAGACAAAACGACAGAAATATGTTTCACAGACTCATTTCTCCAGAAAAGGTAAGTTTGGAAAATAAAATGTCACCTAAGAAACCCAACTTGAGGCCACTGAGGTTTGCCCACAGGTTTGTACTTCAAACCACAAGGGATGGAAACGTTTAGTTCCTTCTTCCAGAAACAAGAGGATTTTTATAAGTCCCAGCCCTTTTCAAGGCGCTTTCAAACCCTTCCATTTACCTTTGCCACTTGATTCCATATAGCTAAAGGCAACCCCCCTGGCTTTGCCTGAAGGAATAAACACCCTGGCTGTGTCCCAGTTGCAGGAACAGGTGGAACAGAAGGCCTGGCTGATCCAAGTGTGAAACTGCCAGCCTGGGGAGCAGGAGGCTGGCAGACATCCTCCTCCCTCTGGGGGACCTGCTGACTGGGTGCTGCTGCCCTCTGCTCAAGCTTTGCTGCTGGTTTCCCCAGACTGATGTGATGGCTGCAGCTTGCCAGGGCGTGCAGAGCGTGGAAGAAGAAGCTGCCTCCCCCACGTGGGCTGAAATAAAGTGCTGAAACTCACGTTTCAGAGTCTGTCCCTTTGCCTTTCCACCAGTACAGACACCCACAGCAGCTGCAGGAATCCCCACCTGGGTGACTCGGGCACGTCCCTGTTTGTCCCCACACCTGTAACCCCCAGCAGCCTTCCTGGGCCATCCCACTGCCTGGGAAAACTGGCTGGCTTTGCAGCCTGCCCAACAGGTGAACCCAACCAGCCCTCAGCTCTGCACGTGGGTGCATCATGGCCTGCACTTCAAGAGCCTGTTCCATCCACAGGGAGCCTCAAGTGCCCAGAAACGGTGCAGAAGCAAGAGCCCCACTCACCAACCCCAAGTCACAGCAAACTTTGCATCCCGTGGGCACAAGCAGCTCTGTGGGCTGGGGGAAACCTGCACAGCCCTGCCTGGGAGGTGCTTTGCCAGACCTTGGAGTGCTCCTCATCTACCTGGGGGGCAGCATCCTCCTCCCCCCAGTGACTTCTTCCAGGTGTTTTTGTAACTCACAGTGATTTTCAAGATGCTCAACCCCCAACATTTGCCTTTCCCTATGGCAGCAGCAGACCTGCCCCCTCAGGTGGCACTGAACAGTTCTCTAGGCCTTCTCCTCCCATGAGCAGAACATTAAACCACAATTACTATTTGATGCATTATGACATGACATGCATTACACTGAGCTCATCTCCCAGCATCACCTGTGTGGGGCAGGTTTGGGGCAGGCAGCAGAGCTCAGCCCTGGCTCTCAGGAATGCTGGTTTCTCAAAGGAAGTGCCAATTCCTAGAGTAGGTGGAAAGAAAGGTTGGGAGACCCACCTGTCCTTGCAGCTTGGAGTGAGGTTGGACACTGATGGGCACCACAAGCACTGCCATGTGCCCTACCAAGGCTCTGCTGGCCATCTGGGGAAGAACAGACCTTTATTTTGGTCTGAGAGAAGAAGGCCTGCAGAAAGGAAGAGCACCCAAGGCTCCTGGAAAAGCTCAGCAACAAAAGGGAGGTTTCTTTGAAGAGCAACAGTTGAGCTGATGCCAACTCTCCAAACAAGGAACAGGAACAGTGACTCCCAGAGGGGGCAAACCAGACCCCTGGGACAGAGCAGCTCCAGATCAAGAAGTGAAACAAACAAAAGAAGATGAGACCTGAGGCTGTGGCTGTGTGTCCAGAGATTATCCAGTCATTTAGTCTAATAAAGCCTCTTAACCAAGTGGATAAGCACAGAAGCCACCTCCCCACCAGCTCCCCATCAGCTCTCTGTTCCTGATCTCTGGGGTAAAAAAAAATATTCAAACGTGCTGGATAAAAATGCTAAATAATTCAGAGGAGATTGGTATGATCAGCTCAGTCCATCTCCCTCAAAGCAAAAATCAGTGTTTTCAAGGCCAATGTCGTGCTGAAGGACCTGCTTGCCTTGCAGCTGCCAACTGACTGCAGTGGAGCTGGCTGAGCTGCCCAAGCCCTGACCCTGAGCTCAGCTCCTTCCCTGCCCTGCAGAGCTGGAACTGCCTTGGAGCTGGGCTGTGTCAGAGCTTCAGCTCCTCTGTGCAAGGGGGTAGAAGCTGCACCAGCTCATCCCACCCTGGCTCTGCCCAGCTTCCCAGCACAGGGGTGGGTTGCTGGTGCATCCCAGGTCCCCAAGGAGGGCAAGGACAGCAGGTCTGGTGGGGAAGGCAGAAGTGGCACAGCCACACGTCCCCCCTGGGGCTGCTCACAGGAGCCTGTGCTGCCCACTTGGATATGCTCTGGCTGGAAAGGGGGGGTGGAAAGGGAATGGTTCACCCAAATTATGGTGTCCTCTTGGCAGGGCAACACTTCACCTGTGTCACTCAACTGTCCTGCAGCCTTTTGTCACCCAGCAGAGCCATTCCCTGAGGGCTGGGATGGTCCCAAGGGCTGCAGGAGGTGGAGTGCCCATAGGAGCCCATTCAGCTGCTGGGAAATCAAAGGGAAAAGCCAAAAACGAGCCTCCACCCCAACCTCTGCAGCAGGAGGTGTCCCCATTCCATGCAGGAGGTGTCCCCATTCCATGCAGGAGGTGCCCCCATTCCATGCAGGAGGTGCCCCCATTCCATGCAGGAGGTGTCCCCATTCCATGCAGGAGGTGCCCTCATTCCATGCAGGAGGTGTCCCCATTCCATGCAGGAGGTGCCCCCATTCCATGCAGGATTGCTCAGTGCTGTTAACTCCTGTGGTCACAGACACACTTGCTATTCCTTGGAGTACCCACCCAAGTGAATCCCCTCAAACAAGGACCTCAGGCTGCAGCAAACAGCAGCTCCTTCACCTCCCAGGGGGAACAAACGTGTCCTTTCCCTGTGGCCCCTCAGGAGCAGTCAGGGGCTGGCAGGGATGGAGGTGCCTCTCCCCAAGCAGCCAAGACATCCTGCCCTGGAGGCTGGCTGAGCTGCTCCTGCAGCACCCAGGTCCCTGCCCTGAAAGGAGGGAGAGGGAATGGGGTCCAAATCTGAGCCCAAAAAACGAGAGGCTGCAAGCACAGGTTGATTTTTTTGGTGGCTTTTGTTTTCCAGTGAATAAAGACACATCATTGATCTTCATGCTCCTGTAGAAGCAGCAGATTTGGAAAGATGGTTCCGAAGTTTTCAAGCCTTAAATGCATCAGCATAAATAAAGGTGGCTTTGAAAACCAGCACCCAAGAGAAGAGAATGAGGGAGGAAACAAGATTTAGGCAAAGGCCCCCTGGGGCTGCTCACAGGAGCCTGTGCTGCCCACTTGGATATGCTCTGGCTGGAAAGGGGGGGTGGAAAGGGAATGGTTCACCCAAATTATGGTGTCCTCTTGGCAGGGCAACACTTCACCTGTGTCACTCAACTGTCCTGCAGCCTTTTGTCACCCAGCAGAGCCATTCCCTGAGGGCTGGGATGGTCCCAAGGGCTGCAGGAGGTGGAGTGCCCATAGGAGCCCATTCAGCTGCTGGGAAATCAAAGGGAAAAGCCAAAAACGAGCCTCCACCCCAACCTCTGCAGCAGGAGGTGTCCCCATTCCATGCAGGAGGTGCCCCCATTCCATGCAGGAGGTGTCCCCATTCCATGCAGGGGGTGTCCCCATTCCATGCAGGAGGTGCCCCCATTCCATGCAGGAGGTGCCCCCATTCCATGCAGGATTGCTCAGTGCTGTTAACTCCTGTGGTCACAGACACACTTGCTATTCCTTGGAGTACCCACCCAAGTGAATCCCCTCAAACAAGGACCTCAGGCTGCAGCAAACAGCAGCTCCTTCACCTCCCAGGGGGAACAAACGTGTCCTTTCCCTGTGGCCCCTCAGGAGCAGTCAGGGGCTGGCAGGGATGGAGGTGCCTCTCCCCAAGCAGCCAAGACATCCTGCCCTGGAGGCTGGCTGAGCTGCTCCTGCAGCACCCAGGTCCCTGCCCTGAAAGGAGGGAGAGGGAATGGGGTCCAAATCTGAGCCCAAAAAACAAGAGGCTGCAAGCACAGGTTGATTTTTTTGGTGGCTTTTGTTTTCCAGTGAATAAAGACACATCATTGATCTTCATGCTCCTGTAGAAGCAGCAGATTTGGAAAGATGGTTCCGAAGTTTTCAAGCCTTAAATGCATCAGCATAAATAAAGGTGGCTTTGAAAACCAGCACCCAAGAGAAGAGAATGAGGGAGGAAACAAGATTTAGGCAAAGGGAAACAGAAAAGAGCAAATTCCACCCCTCAGGGAAAGGGAACTCTCCTAACACGTGCACCATTGTTAATTAGATGGACTGAGCAAGAATCCCAGCCTGACATCTGGCCCAGCAGGATGGATGTAAAATAAACATCAAGAGGAAGAAAATAAATAAGCAAACCTGCCCCCTCGTGCTGCCTCACCTTGGAGGGCTGAGCTGTGCTGCAGAAGGGCACGGGAAAGGGGTTTCCCCCCATCTGTAAATAACGTTGCATTCTTCCCAGATTTCAGAGCACTAACTCAGGAGCTGCCCCAGGTGTTGCAATCCCTGCACTGCACAGTCAAGGACTGTGGTTTTGGCTCTTTAACCAATAAATCCCTTTCCCCCCAGGTTTATGATGTGATTCCACCCACATCCCAGGGGTCACGGTCCCCCCAGGGCCCCCAGCCAGGCCACAACCCCCCAGCTTTGATCACAGCTTCTAAGGAAACCCCGTGCAAAGCAGCAAAGTCAATTCACAAGTAAAATGTCTCAAATATTGTTAAAAAAAAATAAATTCCAATATTTCTCCCTGTTCCCAAGACAGGGAGATCCCTTTGGGAAACCAATTCCCACAGAGTATCCCAGCTTTCAGCTCGCAGGGAGGCGAGAACAACACCCAACAGCTAGTAGGGTGAAATAAATGGCACTAACACAGCATATAATTCCCTTTTTATAGGCTGCAATTACAGCCTGTGGTGTGAATCCAGCCCCAGTCACTCACTGCACTCGGCTGGAACACAGCTGGGGGCTGGGCTTGGGCACAGAGGAGCAGCCCCCAGCCTGGGACAGGGGAAACAGGGCTAATTGCTACAGCAATTTAGCAATTGCAACTGAAGAGTCCCCTGCTCCAGGAATTCATCTCCTCACCCCACTGAGAGCAGAGGTTGGTGGGCTCCCCCACCTGGGGGGTCTTACCTGTGCATATGGGGGGGAAAAGAGGGAAAAATGTCTTGAGTGAAAGTAAAGGGACATCCAGAGGCACAAGGGGCTGCTCCCCCACTGCTGCCCTTGCTGGCCAGGGTGGGACTGGAGGGGGCACCACGTGCTGCTCCTGAAATCAGGAACACGGGAGGTTCCATCCCCACCTGCTGAAAAATAAATCCAAGTCGGGGGAAATTCAGGAGATGTGGACACGAGGGCTGAGCCCCAGCATTCAGGAGGGGGGGGAAGTTTATCTGCAGGAACGAGAGGGAAGAAAGTTTCCCTACCAGCTCTTCCCAGAGCACTTGATGCTTCTGAAACCACAACATTCCCAGCGTGTGGAGCAGTAAAGGTTTGGGAAGAGCCACAAACCCACTTTCCAGTGGGAAACCCTGCAGAGCTGCTGGAACCTCCTCACTGATGAAGCACCAAACGCTGCCAGGCTCCCAGTGCCCAGATCCAGCCTCTCTGTCCCAGCTTCCCATGGGATTCCCCATGCAGGTGCCTGCCCTCCTCCCAGCAGAGTCCCACCGTGGTCACCACATCCCTGCTCCAGCTGATTACTGATGAAATTATTGGATTATGAACCATATTATTAGTAGGTGCAGAGGAAACATCAAGAAGGAAACCTCCTCCTCAGGAGTTGGGTCACTCAGCTCAGGGCTCCCAGTGATTCCTGCTCAGCTCTGGCAGCCAGGTCTGTGCAGGAGAGCCCAGTGACACCTCTGCTTGGGACACACGTCTCAGACATCCCAAAGAACAAGCTGATATGACACCAGAGCTGGTGGGGACCCAGCTGGTTCACCCTGCTGATCCCAGGCTACTTATTAAAGCAGAAACACGGGAGCTGCTGGCTGCCCTTGGGGGGGATGCAGCCCCCGGGGGTGGGGGGTACAGAGCCCTCACGGACAGCCCAGGACTGCAGCCACCCCACCCTGCATGCAGAGCATCATCTCTTGCTTCCATCACAAACCTCCCCCAAAATCCTGCCCTGGGAGCAGAGGGTGCAGCCTGCAGGGCTCCGTGCTCCTCAGCTTCTGCTCAGCTCCCTTCCCCAGCCACCCCTTCCTGAGAACAGTTTGTCTTCTCACACACGTTTCTGCTCCTGCCTTCATCAAGATGTAGGCTTTTCTCCCCCCCACGCCCCCAGAATCATCACATTAATTTGCTCTGAAGAGCCCCGGGGCGGTGCAGCCGCTCGGGCTCCAGCCTGTTCTTGCAGGGCACTCTGGAGAGGTTTATGGAGACATTAAAATTAAATACGAAGCTGCAGAGTAGACG